CCCATGTGGTTTGTGATGGATGCTGACTCTGGTGGCCAACTGCACAATGGAGCTGTGGACATGGAGCAGCACCTCATAGCTCTCCTCTTTGGTCTTGGGGCTGGAGTGGTGTCAATGATGTTGACAACCAGCAGGTTGCTGCTGCTGATACCATCAAGTGGAGGCATGGCACCACCCTTGCAGAAGGTGCAAGCCTGCTGCAGCTTGTCATCCAGTATGGTCACAAGCAGTGTGTCCAGGTAGCCCCACCAAAGTTGTACTCACACTCCTAGCCCTTGTGCTTGATGAATTGCTTGTGCACGTTGTACAGTGTGAGGAACCAGGGCATGAGTAACCACGCCTCCTTGTAGGTGAGTTTGAGCTTGTTGCACTGGGCAGGTGCGGGCTTGCACTGCATAATGGTGTTGTGCACCACCTTGAGTGCCTGCTGCATGCTGCACTGGCCACATGACCTGGGCGCCATGAAGATGATGTCAGTGTAGCCAGCCTTGTGGCTGTTGGGCTGGCGCACTGACTGGCTGCATGTCCACTGTGTGTTCTTGGGCAGGGGGAAGTGGGTGAGCAGCTTGACCATTGGTGTGTTTTTCTTCTTGGCCCCCTCTCAGTTGGCTGAGTTGGGCTTGAAGCGCCTGACACTCATGTTGCGGACCTTTGTGGTGCGCTTGGTTGAGGTGGTTAGGGTTTAGGGTTAGGGTTAGGGTTAGGGTTTAGGGTTAGGGTTTAGGGTTAGGGTTAGGGTTAGGGTTAGGGTTAGGGTTAGGGTTAGGGTTAGGGTTAGGGTTAGGGTTAGGGTTAGGGTTAGGGTTAGGGTTAGGGTTAGGGTTAGGGTTAGGGTTAGGGTTAGGGTTAGGGTTAGGGTTAGGGTTAGGGTTAGGGTTAGGGTTAGGGTTAGGGTTAGGGTTAGGGTTAGGGTTAGGGTTAGGGGTTAGGGTTAGGGTTAGGGTTAGGGTTAGGGTTAGGGGTTAGGGTTAGGGTTAGGGTTAGGGTTAGGGTTAGGGTTAGGGTTAGGGTTAGGGTTAGGGTTAGGGTTAGGGTTAGGGTTAGGGTTAGGGTTAGGGTTAGGGTTAGGGTTAGGGTTAGGGTTAGGGTTAGGGTTAGGGTTAGGGTTAGGGTTAGGGTTAGGGTTAGGGTTAGGGTTAGGGTTAGGGTTAGGGTTAGGGTTAGGGTTAGGGTTAGGGTTAGGGTTAGGGTTAGGGTTAGGGTTAGGGTTAGGGTTAGGGTTAGGGTTAGGGTTAGGGTTAGG